GGCCGGACGTTGGGTTGACACCTCTAATGCTTAATGACTTTTTGCGATACCCCAAACTTCCTTTCTCTGTCGTGTTGCGGATCTTGCAGCTGTGTATGAGTGAAAAGAATGGCTCCTATTCTTTTTGTTTGTCCAGATCAATATTCGATTTTATCATATTCAGTTGTCTGTTTTATGGACCGTGGGACCTTCGCATGGCGTTGGCGGCAAATCTTGTTGTAAAGTCTCGGAGCGTTGTGACCTTTCGCTAGCTGTATCGTTACCTCTTCTCCCTCTCGAGCTCCCTCACTTTAGTGGCTCACTTGCTCAGAGGATGTCTACTTCACCGTTTGCATTGTGGCGGTGTTTGTGTCATCATGATATTAGCATTTGCATATTGTTTCTCACCTATCTTTCATGATCTTGTACTATACTTTTGGCGCTCACGAGGAACGATATGTATTCTGGATTCATGTCTTTTCACTGATGACCGCGAGAAGCGGTCGGTCTTGCACGGCGTAGCAAGGAGATTCAGGAGTCGGCTCTGGACATCTGCGTAATGGGTATGGATAGAGGGGATGGCAGCACGGAGTAGATAGAACATTAACAAGAATATTCTCTTCTGTTCGTCTCACCTGTTCACCTGTGAGTATGGCCTTAATTTCCCTTCACGGTATTCTGCACTCCCACTCCGCACTGTACGCGTGTACGGGGTACTTTTTATGGCACTTGCTGTCAAGCCAGATGCGGCGAGCATCTTATGACGCAGGATCATCATAAATCTGGCCGTAGAGATTGGCCAGTGCGGACCATGCCGGCAAGCAACGTTAACAGCAGTCATGCAAACAGTTCAGATACAGTACGATGAAAGAAATAGAAGGCCGCAAGCCTGGTATGTGAGGCTCTTCGGCAGTTGTCCTATATAAATACAAATAGGGAGCAAGTCATCTACAGATGCTCCTGCCGGCCATGGTTGTGATGGTTTTTTCGTACTGGAGAAGGGCATTCCTAGTGGCACTAACCTCCATTAGTCACCGAGAGCGGGCTGAGGGCGCGGATTGGTGGCTCTCTTGGCTGGTCTTTGGTCGCTGTCCCACCCTTTGACCGTCGACGCCTTGAAGCCAGAGCAGCAACTCGCCGTGTCTCCCGCCAAAGAAAAATCTTCAATTTAGGAAAACCTCTCGCGAGTTTATAATATCTTTGCTCCCCCCTGCTCTGCTGCGCCGTCTGCTATTTGTTGTGAAGCAGATCTTACGTCGCCGTGGGGTCGTGCTGCATTCCGCTCAAGGAGACTCGAAGCGCAGACTACCTAAACGAGAATCCGTCTTTCTCGCTTTTGAAACACCTCACCAACCCCAACCCCAACATCAGCCTCTGTTCAACAACCACCACACCCGCCCACCTTCAACGTCCGCAGTTCAAGTATCTGCGTGCAGTGCTATCTCGAGCAGCCAAACCCTACTGTCTTGCACTCGACTTCTATCGGCCGCAACCCCCTCCGAAAGAGCCTAGGCGGTGAAAAAACGCCGACATCCCACCCTTCAGATACAGGCTTCTACTCCACCTCAACAACACCTCACTCGCACGTCGCTGTCGAGCGCTCGTCTCTCTGCATCACAGCAGCAACAGGTACACATCTCTTGCAATCCGTCATTCAGCACCTCCAGTGCCATCTCCGCAAGAGAGTCGCGTGATTCTGCCATCACCATCCGGCAGCTTCTGAGGGGCTTTGAGCCATTCTCTAGACCTGAGGCAACTGTGCTCAGCACTTATCTCAAGAAGAATCTCTTTTGATAACCATCAAAGGCAAGTTCAGATTCTCTTCTACGATTTCTCTTTTCCTTGGCACGTAACCAAGGCGAGGCACAAAACACGTCCGTGCCGACAAACATTCACTTCACCACCTACCTGGCGCAAAATTGCACGCTAAGAAGCTTTGCTGACTATCGCATCGGCAACAGCGCTTACACCACATACTCTTTGACGCGAATCCTCTTTTTCCTTCCCCCGACCCCGCGCGAGGACTCCCCCTTGCTCTCTTCTACCTACCCTTACAAACAGCCATTAGCAAGTCCCAGCAATGGCGGAAAACGAGGTCGATTTGGATTCCATCATAGACAGGCTGTTGGAGGTGCGAGGCAGCCGGCCTGGAAAGCAGGTCCAACTCCTGGAAACAGAAATTCGTTACTTGTGCACTAAGGCCCGAGAAATCTTCATCTCACAGCCTATCTTGCTGGAGCTTGAGGCGCCGATAAAGGTCAGTAACAGTCTCCTTAATTTTTCATCCATTCTATGCGCAGGAGCTAACAAGGTGTTTTCATCCTTCAGATTTGCGGTGACATACACGGGCAGTATTACGATTTGCTGCGTCTCTTCGAATACGGCGGATTCCCCCCAGAGGCAAATTATCTGTTCCTCGGTGATTACGTTGATCGTGGCAAACAGTCTCTGGAGACCATTTGCTTGCTCCTGGCATACAAGATCAAATACCCAGAGAACTTCTTCATTCTGCGTGGCAACCACGAGTGCGCCTCCATCAACCGCATCTATGGATTCTACGACGAGTGCAAGCGGCGATACAACATCAAGCTATGGAAGACTTTCACTGATTGCTTCAATTGCCTACCTATTGCAGCCATCATTGACGAGAAAATCTTCACTATGCATGGAGGTCTCAGTCCAGACTTAAACTCCATGGAGCAAATCCGCCGCGTTATGAGGCCCACTGATGTAAGTGCTTACAGTGTCCCGATGGTTTTCTCCTTTTTCAGGAAATTCTTTGCTTGAAACTGTACACGCATATTGACCGCCTTAGATTCCTGACTGCGGACTGCTCTGTGACTTGCTCTGGTCCGATCCGGACAAAGACATCACCGGCTGGAGTGAGAACGATAGAGGCGTCTCGTTCACCTTCGGTCCCGACGTCGTATCCCGCTTCCTGCAGAAACACGACATGGACCTCATCTGCCGCGCCCATCAAGTCGTGGAAGACGGTTACGAATTCTTTTCTAAGCGACAGTTGGTCACACTCTTCAGCGCTCCTAACTATTGTGGCGAGTTCGACAACGCAGGTGCCATGATGAGCGTCGACGAGAGTTTGCTCTGTTCTTTCCAGGTTAGTGATGTCGCATGTGAATACCTTGACTAGAAGCTGACATGCGGGATAGATTTTGAAGCCGGCGGAGAAGAAACAAAAGTACGTTCCCAGTGGTCTTGGTGGCAGCAGGCCCATGTCTCCTCGAAAACAGAAGTCTCCGAAGTAGCCCACCATTTTAAATGAACTATTACGAATTATTGTGCAGCAGGTTCGGACGTCGCTAGACAAAATCACGCATCGTTAAGCCCTCCCTTCGTGTATCACCACCAAAACCGCCTCGAGGTACCGATCACCGCTCCTGACGATATTGCTCCCCATTTTCCTCTCCGGCAACTCCACGGTTCCCAATCGGCATATCGACGAACTATATGTTTATACGCTCGCTCGTTTTCCTTCCGTAATCATTTCTTTACCCTATCAGACGTGTCACGACTCACGGCGACGAATCCTATACGATATTCGGTCGCTATACTACAGTAGACGGATGTTCAAAGACCTGATGTACCTGACCACGTGTTTTGTACTCCCCGGCGAAAGAGGCACAGGTATACAGGTGTCAAGAATTATTACGGACGTGAAGATGTTTTGATGGTTGTTGATTTCCCCTTGTATCATTTATTCAACGCCGGTTATGGGTCTAGGGGTTTGCTAGGATGGGAGTGTGAGAAGTATGATGGCTGGACGTGATGGTCTGTGTCCTCTTCTGCTTTTGGTCATTTGCGTCTCCCATACCACTGGAGGTGCCTTAATCATGTTTGTCCTTCTCTTAATCACCATTGGTCGTTCCGGGATGAGGGGAACGGGAGGCTGTACGTTATGGGTTGAAAGATGTGTTTTTCGAAGGTCGGTTTATGAAGTCGTGTTCGAGCTTCTTTTCTCGCTTCCGGGAGAGAAAATGCGGGCAACACGGCTACAACTCTTTTCCCGGGAGGTGGTAACGGGTTTTGTAGCAGTGTGGGCTGGCTGATTGGCTTGTTTTCTGTGTCTTTTCCCTTTTTCCTTTATTGAGAACATCTCCTTCCTGCTTCTCTGTGCTACTGTGCTGCCCTTCCTTTACAATATGTGGTCTTGGTTTTGAATGCGTGCTCGTCCCAGTGCTCTGCAGCCTCAACAGTGTGATATGTCACCCAAATGCTGACTTAGGTTTTGATCGACGCTCTATGTACCATTTTCTCGAGTCAATCTGGACTTCCCTCGTCCCTGCTTCCATGAAAATTTTCCTAATGCGATCTCCCTCGATTCCTTTTAGCCCAGTTGGTATGTCTCCATCTTATATTCCCTATTTCATCCTTCACTCTGACAGCATCTTTTTCCAAATATCTCGTAACTATGTACTTAATGGTTAGGTTGTCCGAATAACGCCGAAGGGCATTATCTTTAGTTAAAGTGTTGAATCAAACCTCCCCTTTCAAAGTCCTCAATCTTATTGCCCATTATGCAAGACCTGCCTCGAAGCTGCATACCAAACACAAACCTGCATGAGGCTCACGCACCATATCTTCTGAGTCCCAAGTCCCACAACCGAATATACATCGCAGCCCAATGTGGGTCTCCCAATCTGGTCTAGACCGCCTTATGCCGCTACTTTCCATTTTCTTTCTCGCTTACTCCACTCATTACCACATTAATATGCTATACTTATATAAACACAAATTAGGCAAAATTTTTCATCCGAGCATCCAATAGAATTGGGTATTTCCTCCGCTTGGTGTAGTTGGTTTATCACGTTCGACTGTAATTGCATTATGCCATCGAAAGGTCCCTAGTTCGATTCTGGGAGCGGAGAGTATATCTTTTTTGTTTGTTCTCTTTGGTTTTTATTATTAAACTGCTTTTCTCTTTTCCATCTTCTTTAGTGGGGCTCGTAAATATTTATGCCGATATTAATTTAAAATTCGAAAAACTTTCCATCAAAAAGCATTACGGTTGTATGGTGTAGCGGTAGCACATTGGATTCTGATTGCCTTTCTATAAGTTTATCAGGACTTTTCCAACGACCCCGGTTCGATCCCGGGTACGACCTCGTATTCCATCTTCTCTTTGAGTTAATGGTTTCAGACAACGTGGCCGAGTGGTTAAGGCGTTTGACTCGAATGTACTCGTATCATTTGAGCATATCAAATTTCTTCGGAAGCACAGGTTCGAGTCCTGTCGTTGTCGTTAATCTTTTTTGCCTCATTTGGAGGGGAGCTGTGTGGTTGAAGCTTTTTTGCTGTAAAGGGAAGCCGGGATTATTTCTTGTACAGAGAAGATAACTTGAGAAGCAGAGTAAAGATATCCTATAGCCCATCTTTCCTTATTTTAATATGAAACAAAAGGTAGGTTATTTGCTACTCAGAGTGTGTGACTACAAGAGAAAGCCCAGCTTTGAGCCAGAAAGACTTTATATAAACAGGTGATAATATCATTCAACGTCTCCCATGGATTCAATACTACACGTGACTATCAATCTCAAAATATCAGGCCTAAGGTCAGCAGATAGAAAAAGGTCGGGGCGTTCATATTGATTCAAAACCGTCGCATTTTAAAATTTCGAAGTGAATTCAGAATCTCTGCTTCAAGAGAAAAGTGTAGGAGTAATTTCTCCTTACTCACACCAGTCGACTTTCTTTAAGAGATAAACTAAAAACAGAAATTGGAAGAGAGACTTTGTGGAGAATACTGAAAAAGGAGACAGACACTAATTGATTTCCATCCTGTATATATAAATAACCATTGGGTATTCAAATTATACATTATCCACACCAGACAAGCTGACTACAGGAGATCAGCAGGGCAGACAAACTTAAGAATCACTGCAACGCACGCGTGGGACTACTGGTCACGTTTGGAATATGTACTCGTCACTCGAGTCATCTCTTCCAGCTATGATTCATGAAGGTCCGGATTTTATTTTCCTCAACAGCAGTATATACGACATAGTGCGTAATACCCTTCAGCAAACGGACTCCAGAAGAAAACCAAAAATCGTAATCTGAGGAATATTTAATGTTACTAATGCTGGAAATAATTTCATTTGATCTGTCGCATAACTACCGTTCTGACTCGAAATAGGCTATAAAAGGATTAATAACATGTATAAGTTGACTGGAATCACATAAGCATGCGTATTATGAGGGAGCTCTATTTCTCCTAACTAGACTAAATCTTGGTCTAGCGAGCGTCGCTAGGAAACGAGGACCGCTTCAAACCAATATAACTTTTGACAACATGGTTCGATCGAAGTTGAGGTTGCGACCAATGACTTTGTTTAAATGGGCTTTTTAATGATATGGATACTGTAGTATTAGGTAAGAGAGTTAAGGTGTAGTATAATTCACAGTTGTATATGAAGCTAGCTAACGCTTACTATATGATATAAACTATATAGATCTGTTCGTAAGAACTCATTTTATATAACATATAGCTTACTTACAGTTCTAACTTCTAAATGAAGGAAGTTGGGTTCTCTTTGTATGGGAAGGAGGCAACAAGAGACCCCAGAATACAGTGTTTTAAATTATAACGACTATACCCAGAAGTACAATAGATAGAAGGTAATATAATAATTGTGTGAATATGTTGTGGTACTGTGAAACAATGTTAAATTTTATGAGGCAAATGTCCGTTTTGTATGGGGCTTGGTTCCTGGGGACGTTCGCTTCGGATCTAGTCTAACGCCATTTACTGAGTCGTGTGCGTGAAGCTCCGATTCGCGTGACGCACGGCCATCATAACACCTCAACTTAAAACGAGGCTGCACAGCCACCTACAATAGCTGTTCACAAGATCTATTGTAGTGGAGTATTTAGTTAATGCATGCGATTGAATTGCACTATTAATATTTATCTGGAAGTTTAACGCTGCGGCCACGGCGCGTTGTTTTGGGTTGAGCTGCCGATGCAGCCCGCCCCTGAGGCTTCCCTACCACCCACAGCCTCAACCACTTGCTTCTTCTTCTTAATAGCTGCTGTAGGAGGCTTTGGATCTTGCTCCTTAAACTTTTGGCTAATTTTATACATTGCTGAAGTTCTTTCTCTGCCCTTTAAGCCCTCTGCTTCTGGGCTCGGTTAGCGGCTTGCTCAGCTTTCTTCTTCTTCCTGACTACCTTTGCTTCAGCTCTCGCCATACACTTCTCCTGAGCTACCTTGAGCTTGTATAGCTGGGCAGCTTCTTGAGCTCAGCTAACTCAGCTTTATGGAGTTGGAGCTCCTACTCCTCACGCTCTTTGACAACTTGACAACTTGACGAGCACATGTCTTCCTGACCTTCCTTGGTGACCAGAAAACAGCCCCACCGTGGTACTCCTTACGCTGCCAGAGATCTAGGGGTTTGCCACGCTTCTGATGTTTCTTCTTCGTGGCTACAGTCTCCCTGAGCCCTTGATTCTCGTGTTTGAGTAGCTGGGTTTGAACAGAAATACAATGAAGTGATTGACTGGGTTTCCGCGCCTCTTCAGTAGCCACAACCTTCACTGTTGCTCTTATAAGCCGCTCAATTTTTCTCCAATCAGAGCCGCTAAGTACTGAAGTTGAACTCTCTCTTGATCCCTGCTCATCTGGGTTGGTGTTGGTGAATCTTTTGAATATAGCGTCTGGCTCAAGGGGTGATATACCAGTAGTTTTAAGGAGTTGAGTATCGTTGCTTTCTTTGAAAAGAAGCCACCCAGTCCTCCCAGAAACAGGGCAACGAAGTCTCCCTTCTTGATTGGTGATAGCCCCTGGCTTCTCTCAGGGAAGGCTGATAGCTCGGTTGAAGTAGGCAGTTGAGAGAGGTTTGAACATCCTCACATCAAGCGGTTGAAGCGTGTGCGTTGAATGGGGAGGAAATATAGCTAGAAGTATCTTATTCTGATCACAATACTCAATAAAATCAGGTGTGACGTGAAGTCCATGGCCATCGAGGATGAGTAACCGGTATGATTGTCGAGCTTCCTTCTTAGTATGGCGACCAAACACCTGCTCAAGCCAGGCAAGGCCTATATTATTGTTTGTCCAGTTCGTTAAGATTCGGTACTGGGAAGGGGATTGGTAGGGAGCATGCTGGGGTTATTGGGGGATAGGAGACCTCGGCGGGATTTAAGAAGAGTATAATGCAGATAACCGTTGATATAGAAATCAATTGTGATGCCCTTGCGAGCAGAAATTCTAATGCTGATTCATAGACCGATTCTATCCATGTTTTGGCCTTAGTCATTGGAGTACGCCGCCGCCTTTGGGTATTTCCGTGAAACGCCCGAGTATATATCCTGATGCGTCTGCATGAGTCCCAACCAAATGCATATACAAGAAAAAATAAAGAAAGATAATGATATATTAATTAAGCAAAGGTAGCCCAATCATAGCACTGGTCTTCTCTCCTCATCCTGCTCATCTTCAGGCTCAACCAAATATGCCGTACAAGCATAGTCTGGCACTTTTTCAGATACTGAGCCCAGTCGGTCCAGTCGTTCTTGCGACATTGAGTACGCCAGCAACGTCTTTTCTTCGCCGGTGAGTCGGATGCTGTGTATACGACGGTGTTGAGTTGGCTTCCATATGCTGCACAAAAAGTTAGCTTTGGCTTTCAATTTATTGAGAGAGTTGAAACTGACCAATTTAACAACAGATTCAATCCCTCCGCCATAAGTGCAAGAATGGCCATAATGATGATGATGCCGATAACGAAAAGCGTAGTAGAGGAATTGCTGTCATCATTGACCTCGTCCACAACCGTCCTGCAAATAATCTTCGGCCGCTGCGTAGGCGCGCTAGGAAGTAGCTTGCCATTATTATGCTCTCCCACAATATTGTTCTTACTATTTCCGGCACCTTTGCTCCCAACAACTTTCCCCATAGCCATGAGCACTGTCGTCGACAATGGCCTCTCGTCACTCGTTCCAGTTGCGGAAGCCTTCGGTAGTGATATGGGTTTCTCATCCACGTCGAAGAAGCTCCGGTACAGATCTGGGTCTATCGATTCCCATTTCTCTACTTCTGGCCCGAGAGAAGAGCAGTAGTCGTTCTGGACTGCTGGGGTGTTGTGGAGGGTTAATGAGGATGCCCATGGCTTTTCGGACTCGGCGAGCATGCAGCGACAGTGGGAACGGGACCGTGTTGGCGCGGCAATTGTAGAGGAGATGAGGAGGGGAAGGAGCGCCATAGAAGGTGCAATAGCCTTCATATTGAGGATTTGATGGAGGAATAGAAGTTTGAGAGAGTCGGAGTGTATGTGAAATGTCCAGACTCGGAAGGAACGAGTTCTCCAGCGGCGAGTAGCGGGAGCAATCGACAGCGGAAGCGGTATTCGAATTCAGGAAATGGTTCGAAGTGGAGAAAAGAGCTGTGTCACGAAGTTGTGCTGTTGAGGGAGTGCCGTGGTCAAATAGATGGAGGAGTGCCGTAGCCAAATAGGGTGGAGGAGTGCCGTGGCCAAATAGATGAAGAAGTCCCGTGGCCAAATAGGTGGAGGAGTGCCGTGGTCAAATAGGTGGAGGAGTGCCGTGGTCAAATAGGTGGAGGGAGTGATGTGATATCTGAAAACGACACCTGCCAAGCGCGAAGGTCTAGGAAGGGACGAAGGAAAGCGGTCGTTATGATGGCGTCAGAAGGGCATATATCTGTGGGCACATGCAAATGCCCAACGGATGTTATCAACGCCTGGCAGGCCAAGTGGTGCAAGCCATAATCTATATGTACGCCGTGTTGACGGAGCTCCTCACTCTGCGCGCCGCAAAAGTCCCCGACCGGCGACCAGGCTAGGGCTGACAGATTCAGACCAGGCGCAGCATTTCCTCATCGTTTAGATGGTACAACAACGGCAAACATCATTCTAATCACCTCTAGTAACATTGGCCGTAATGTTATAACCTAACTTAAACGAGAAATCCCTTAAACTAGAGTTATAGTAC